ACTAATTTCATGCACTAGGCCTCCAGTGTGTGTGTGTGTGTGTGTGTGTGTGTGTGTGTGTGTGTGTGTATGACAAAGAAAGGTTAAGAAAAAATGCGATTTATAGCTGGGTGACATTTATGCACACATTTTAAAAATGCACATAAAATATTTTTTTTCATGGATGCATATTTATATAGCTGAATATGGAGAAAGTGGCTGGGAAGATCTGTATTCATGAGAATATAGTATGAGAGAGTGGGACCAAAGATGAAGAACAAGGGCAAAAGACAAAAGTCCAGCAACCCCAAGGACAGCGGGAAGCCAGAGTGGAGAATTGGGGGCCTCTCTGATCACCCCTGATATTCAGGAATCCAATGGGGGGAGAGGTTCCAAATAAAAGTCAAGATGTTGCAACTGGCATGGTTTAAAAGCTGGATGGCTGACAAGGAAACTCACAGGCTTGAAGCAGAGAAATGAGAGTGAAGGAAACCAAAAGTGAAACTAATCAAATCACTCTGCTAAGTGAGTAAGAGAAACTCTCCTTTCATCCCAACTGGTAAGTTTCCTGTAACATGGTTAGCATTGTGGATTTACGGTTTATTTTGGAAGCCAAGAATTTGACAATATATCTGTCTTTGTTCTGTTAAGGGCCTTTGAATATATGTCCTCCATCTATAGCAGCCGTGGGCAAACTACGGCCAGCGGGCCAGATCTGGCCCATTTGAAATGAATAAAACTAAAAAAAAAAAAGACCGTACCCTTTTATGTAATGATGTTTACTTTGAATTTATATTAGTTCACACAAACACTCCATCCATGCTTTTGTTCCAGCCCTCCAGTCCAGTTTAAGAACCCATTGTGGCCCTCGAGTCAAAAAGTTTGCCCACCCCTGATCTATAGCAACCCATCAGAATTTTTTCTTAGACTATAGGTAACTCAGTCTGCTCACTATCCCATAACCTCTGGCTTCCAGAATAAGAGAGAATCCTGGGGCCAAGTGAGGTGATGCCTCTCACTGCAGTGGAACCGATGTTCCTCAGCTCAAGGGCTGCCTTGATATGGGGAAAACAGGTGGGACAGAGAGGGACTGGCCCCAGTGATATCAGTCCAAATATGGCATTCACTGCCCTCAAGGCCCTGACAGCAAATATCAGGTCTCCCAGAAAGCTACAACTGGAAAGTAGCCAAAGTGCAATTGTGTAGTTTACTTCCCTTGGAGGAAAATCTAAGAAAGGGCTGACAGGGCCTGAGAATTGCCCACAGTCACGGTAAGTCAGGGACAGAGCTGCATTTGGTAGTCAGAGCTTCTGGTTGCCCTGGCTATGGCTGGAGAAGATTTTTCCCAGCCAGGACCACCAGATTGGCTCCAAGAAAGGAAATACAGTTGTCCCCTTAGGCCCCTGGTTGCCCTGGCTATGGCTGGAGAAGATTTTTCCCAGCCAGAACCACCAGGTTGGCTCCAAGAAAGGAAATGCAGTTGTCCCCTCTCAAGGGGCCAAAGAGCCGCATGTGGCTCGCGAGTTGAGTCGCAGTTTGCCGACCACTGCCCTAGGCAAACTGCTGGGGCTGGATGCCTTCTTTAATGGTCTTGAGTTCATCCCAGTGCCTCTGCTTAAAATGTGCCCAAAGAAACTCAAACTGATCATTCTGGGCATTTTCTCTCTTTCATCATACTACAACACAAAACAATATTCTCTAAGTCTATGACCATCTCTATCCCTTGCCACCTAAGCCACTTGACACAGCTGTAAAGCTCTTATGAGGCATGGCGCTGACTTCAAGAAAGAAATACAAATTCAAATATTGGCTTTTTATTGAAGCCAGGGAATGCATTGCTCTCCTAATCAAGTATTACGTACACAATTCCCCAGTACCAAAGGAGACAAAACCAAATAGAGGAGACAATTTAGCTTTTTATTTAATTGTCAATATATTATATATTCAAGCACATACACACTTTTGGGACCTTCCTCTCTCTTTTATCACCCAAGAAGGGTGGGGAGCAGGAGGTGGCTGGATAGGCAACACACACACATCCTCTGAGCTTGGCAGACACTACTGGTCTCTGCTGAGTCTTCTGGTCCCAGGCCAGAAAATTAAAACCCTCTTAAATAAATTACTAGGAAAGATGCCTCAACTCTGAAGAAGTAGACTCAGCAGAAATGAGAGGAGGACACATGCAACCTGAGTTCCAATGACAGTTAAAAAAGAAAGGCCA